CCGACCTTCTTGCCCAAGGTCAATTCAGCCTTCCACAGGGCTCAGGAGCTTACACTCCCGAACTTTTGTCCCAATCCTTCGCGGGAAAGGGAGAAACGATGGCACACCCTAGATGTCAGGCGGGCCCTCCGCATATACATTAACCGCACACAACCCTTTAGAAGGTCAGAGTCTTTGTTTCTCTCCTTCCAGCCCAAGTCCTTAGGCCACAAGGTGTCCCCTTCCACCATCGGGCGATGGATCAGAGCCACCATCGCCAAGGCTTATTCGTCTCAGGCCTTGCCAGTTCCCAGTGGGGTTACGGCGCATTCCACCAGGAGTGCGGCCACCTCTGCGGCCTGGGCCACCCAGGCTCCAATCTCAGACATCTGTCGGGCCGCCACCTGGGCTTCCCCCTCCCCTTTAATTAGGCACTATAAGATTGACATCTTTGCGTCAGCTGAGGCCTCGTTTGGTAGGCGAGTCCTCCAGCGGGTCATCGAGGACCCAGGGGAGCTTCCACCCCAGACGGATTCCCTCCTGTAGGACAGCCAAGCTTTGGTATGTCCCACTCTCTGGATGATCCGAGCAGCTCGAGGGAGAATGGGCATTGGTCTTACCTGACACACCATTTCTAGTCGAGCTGCGAGGATCATCCAGCCCCACCCTTTTTAATTTTTTTCCATCTGGGGGAACCTTGTTTCAGCCAATGATACTTTAGGTCTAGTTAGATGAGAGTTAGACGACTTTCCTCCTCTCTCGACTTCGCATAAACTGGGAACGCTGTTAGTGTTTGGGGATAAACCCCCTAGCAGAGTGTGCAGCAGCAGTCAAACCAGTCAGCCAAATGAGAGAGAGGCTGGGCCCTAGAGTATACACACACTTGAGACAAAAACACTGTTTGTGGTTTAAATAGGTATTTAATTCATACAGAGATTAAGAATAGTCATTCAGTCCATATGTCAGTATCCAGTTTATCCATACAGTTATCAAGTCTCTTTAAACAGTAAATACAATGTCTTTATCTGCTTGTATATCTTCTTCTTAAGATACCTTTCTCTCAAGTACTAACGCTGAATCCACAGCTCACCAGTAAACAGTCCTTGTGTTCAGGTGAAATGGTATCTGGCACAGTAGCCTCCAAGGTAAGCAGATAGACGTTCCAATACACAGTAGGCAGCAGACTAGGAACAGTAACCAGGTGCATCCAGAAGCCGGGCTCATATAGTTGCATCCAGAAGCCGGGCTCATACAGTTGCATCCAGAAGCCGGACTCAGACAGTTGCATCCAGAAGCCGGGGCTATTACGATTTCCCCTCCTACCTATATGGCTGCCTGCAACCGCACCCACAATGACATTGCAGTTTCTTGTGCTTAAAGCTACATAGCACTTAATCCTAGGTTTACATATTTATTCAACCCAAACCAGTTGGAGTATCCATATACCCAACAAACGCTACAAGGGACCACGTGACAGAGGGCGGAGCGTTCCCTAATAATTAAGCTCAGCCTACACAGACGCAGACTGGAGCACCTCCCACTCTCTGGATGATCCTCGCAGCTCGACTAGAAATGGCGTGTCAGGTAAGACCAACGCCCATTTCACTCAGAGCATGTAAAAAAACATGTTCTTTAGAAATTCCCTTTTCTCCTTTGCTGCTGTTCATAGGCATCCCCCTAGCCAGCCATTCTTTACTGCAAACTAGACCTTTTTCTAAATCCTAGCTGTGTTTTGATGGCCCCTTTTTTCTGCTTTATCAGACCCCAACTGAGACAAGCATATCCTGCTATGAGATGCTTTGCCTGCAGGAGGCCTCTACAATTTTTTTTTTCCAGTAAACTCTTATTCTTCATTTCTAGGAGAAGCAAGCAATTTAATCTACTTTGCTTTCTGGGTGCACTTGTGCTGTTTCTATTAAGGGATGTCATCTTCCTCTGCTGTTCTTGACCTACTGTTCAACCACTTATATAAAACCTATTGGAGCTTTTTGAGAGTAGCAGAAGATAATGCAATAGTTAATATTTCTTCCTTTGAGCATAAATATTCACTCTGAAGAATTTAAAGTTGAAACACAGTGCTCTGTTTCCTGTGAGCCTTCTGTTTTTGGAGGAAAAAAATAAGTTGCATGAAACTTGATATAGTCAACATGCAACTGTCTGTCTTAAGTTGTAGGTGCCATTTTTGTGGGATCAGATTCCAGATTAATAGTTTTGTATCACCTATTAATGAAAAAGACGATGTTGTTCAATGAAATCGTCACAGGCAATGGACGTATGAATGCCATTCAGCAAGGCTTGGGTTTATGTGATATGTGACTAGGCAGTGAGAGGGACCAGCTCAGGATGGAGGATGTTGTGTATGTTGGGGGGACTGGAGGAGGGGAGCCCTTGGTGCTGAGCTATAGCACAGTGGGAGCTTCCTCATCTATCTCCCCAGGATGCCTGAAAGAATGAGAATGGCTGGAGGGGGACGGCAGAGCCATTGGCTCTGTGAGGAAGTGGGGAGGGGGATGATCACCTTGAGGGATGTGGGTCAGGACAGTGCATTAAGAGTGGTGATGGGCATTGGATGCAACGGGAGCCAGAGGGCAGGCCATTACAGAGGAAGACATCCCCAATGTGCTATTGTAGTGTGTTCTAGTCCCCTGAGCTCACTCCCAGTTCCTGTACAGCATACCCTCAGAGGCTGAGGTTCAGCTGCTTCTGGTGAATGCCAGGTCAGTCAATAAGGCTCCCCTTATTCAAGATAATGAGCGAACTGACTTGGCATGCATGATCGAGACCTGGCTGACTCCATAAGGAGGGGGGGGTTTCCCCTCTCAGAGATGTGTCCAGCCAGTTTCTGAAGCTGGGCCCACAGGATCAATTGGGATTGTTGCTAGTATACCAGCCACTTTGCTGCGTGGCAACTTCCCTGCCTGAGCTGCTGGAGACCGTCTCAGGGCTGTTGGTGGAATTTCCCAGATTTAGGTTCTGGGAGACTTCAACCTGCTGTTCCTGGGTTCGGCCTCAGAAGCAGCCCAGGAGTTCATGACCACCATGGCAACCATGGGCCTATCCCAGATCATCATGGGTCTGACTCAGGACAGTGGTCACACACCAGATATGATCCTCTTGTTGGAGCAATGGCAGTGTGATCTGGTGGGGGATTTAACATCCCCCCTGTTGTGGTCAGATAACGCCCTGGTGTCCTTGAGACTCATACCATCCCCCTCTGCAGGGAGGTCAGACCCATTTGAGCAGTCCACCCCAGCAACTGATGGACCCAAATGGGTCCCAAAGGGAACTGGGGGATATCCCAGGGGTTCTGCTGCATGGCCCTGTTGAAGCCTTGGTTGACAACCTGGAATCAGCCGGAATGAGCCATGGTGGTACAGTGGTTAGAAAAATGCTGTTTTGGAGCTCTTACTGCCACAAGGTAGGCCTTAATAGCAGCTGTAACTTGTGTCCAGTCAGAGTCATCCCTGGTTTTCCTCCAACAGCGCTCTACACAGCTCAGTGGCTCAATGATGCTGGATATTGTCTCTTTTCCAGCAGTTTGAGTAGTAGCACTGTGTGTCGGGGTGAGCTGTCATCATTCACCTCACTTTCTGTCCACCTAGCAGTTCGAAAGCATGTTCTATGCAAGTAGATAAATAGGTACCATTTTGATGGGGAGATGAGTTGGTGCTCCATGCAGGCAGTCAGATTCCTGCCAGCTCTGAACCTTCCCGATTGTGATCCTTGTTTGTGAGGTAGCTCCAGGGAAGGAAGGGGGACCTTGGATGATGCTGCAGGAAGAGCTGCTCATCTTTCTGGTGTGAAGCCAGCTCACCCTCTTGTGGCACACCTTGGGAAGTGTGTGAGCATGTCCCACAACAGAGCTGGTAAATTGGCTGCCAAACTACTCTGCAACTGCTCTTTTGTGGCTTCCTGCAGGGCACAGTACACTTTTCACTCCTTTTTAACATCTACATTAATTACATAATCTGTAATTATGGGTTGAGGTATCACATGATGATACTCAGCTTTGCATCTCCACCGCTGGTGACCCAGGTAATGCTGTCGCTGACCTTTCATGGTGCCAGGAGGCTGTAGGGGCTGGGATGGAGGACATCAGTCTTTGGCCAAACCCTGGTAAGACTGGATGGCTTTGGGTGCATGGAGCTTCAAGATCGAAGACTTCTATATCCTTAGTTCTGGATGGGGTGGCACTATCCAAGATAGACTGGGTCCACAACCTGGGGTTCTCATGACTCCTGCTCAAAGAGCAGGTGGCAATTGCAGCTAGGAGAGCCTTTGCACAGCTTCAGGTTGTGGGCTTTCCTGGAGCAGGAGTCTCAGTGTTCAGTCATTCAAGCCCTGGTCATCTCGCAACTGGATTACTGCAATGTGCTCTGTGAGGCTACCCTTGAAGACCATTCAGAAGCTAAAACTGGTGCAGAGTGCAGTGGCACGGGCAGTTTTGGGGGGCCCTAGAGTGGCCCATAATACACCACTGTTCTGCAAGCTGCACTCACTGCCTGTTTGCTTCTGGGTGCAATTCAAGGTGTTATCACCTTTAAAGCCCTACATGGCATGGTTCCCAACTACTTGAGGAACCATCTCACCCCAATGGGACTGGCCCACCCCACATGTGCCGTCAGAGGAGGCATACTGCAGACCCTGTTGGTCAGGGAATTGCAGCTGGCGGACTCCAGAAGTGTTCTCTGCCATGGCTCCTGCCCTTTGGAACACCTTGCCCCCCCCCCCCCCCCGTTGGACTGGGTTCCACCCTCCTGCCCTTCTGTAAGCTCCTGAAGACCTGGCTCTGCCAGTTGGAGCTTGTGGTTGATGGACCAATAGCAGTTCCTACCTCACCCCTGTACATTCTGCTCCCTTCCTATTGTTCAGCCATAACCTGTATTTTATTGTGAATACAAACAAACACACATGGTTTTATTGCTTTAATCTAAAACGCCTGGAGTTGCTTCGCAGTGAGATGGGTGGCAAACAAATTTAATAAATAAATTAATAAAATCTCTGTAGAGCATAGCTGTTGATGGGAATTATATATTCCAGCATGCTGTTGTGGTTGTATCTTTACCCATGTATTCATGCAGGTATCTTTGGATTTAATTTTCCATTACTTGTTTTATGGTTGAATACTGATTAGAAAAGAATATAGAAACTTCTATTTAATACTGTCATTGGAACTCCAAAAGGTTCCCTCCCAATCATCATTTTTCCTTCCTGATAACTCTTTCATCATCTCTAACAGCCTCCTTTAAACTGCAAAGCTGGCGAGCACAATGGGAAAAAAACAAAACAAGAAGAAAGTGGAGGCGGTCTTAGAAGAAGAAGAGGAGGAATACGTGGTGGAGAAAGTTCTTGACAGGCGGGTAGTGAAAGGCAAAGTGGAGTACTTGCTGAAGTGGAAAGGCTTTTCAGAGTAAGGCTGCTGTCCCTTTATTTTCATAGTTTTGTTGAACAGAAAGATCAACTGGGTTCAGTTTTTCAAACCTTGTGTTAACATTCCATAGTGCTTATTAGAATTGTGGCTTTTTAGAAATCCAGTGCAACTTTTAAAAAATCTTACCTTGTGGCAATGTATCCTGTTCAAATCAGAAATCACTTTTTGGGGAATAATCTCTACCTATTCCTGCAGGATATTAGTGCATTTAAAAATCAGGGTAGGTTTTTCTTCCCCCAAAAGTGCATTCTGATTTGGACAGTTCCTTGCTTACACTTATTTAGGTTACTGGTGACAAGCAGATACTTCTGTTTTGCCAGGGATGTTTTGGCTGTCCCTGCCATGCATTATGCCTTTTCTAAGGGGCAATACCTGGGTTGTTCAAGGTTGGTTGCCCTTCAGGATGAAGAGGCCTTACCTTAAAACATACATCTATGAGTTAATGAGGAAAATAATGGCCATGTTGCGGGCTGGATCCAGTCTGCGCGCCTTGAGTTTGACACCCCTGCTTTATAGTGAAAGACATGGTCCAAAAACAGCTGTGCTATCGCCCTCGCTGTGGGCAAGGCTTTACAACAGATGACGTGCCATTTTGTTGAAAAGATCTACCACCACCAATATGGAGGTATAGCCTTGGACCAGTGGTAAGTCAGGAATAAAGTCCAATGATACCATGTGCCAGGGCTGGGGAGGTTTTTCCAAGGGCTGCAATGCGAGAAAACATATCAATTGATGTCTGTTGCCATCCTAGGCCAAAAGTCTCTCAATGTGCAAGCGTCTTGAAGACACTTAAGTGGATACCTATAAAAAGTTTACAAAAATTCCAGATGTTTGAGATGTAAAAAAACCAGACCAAGATAAATCGCTTCAGTTCTTTCCACCTATAACAAGGCTGAGGAGAAAAAAATAACAAAAATGTACAATAATGTAGTTGCACAACTGTACACACCCTTAAACTAATACTTTGTTCAAGCACCTTTTTATTTTATGACAGTATTCAGTCTTTTGGAGTAGGAGCCTATCAACATGGCACAACTTGCCTTGGGAATCTTTGCCTACTCTTCCTTGCAAAAGCGTTCCAAAACTGTCAGATTGTGAGGGCATCTCCTGTGCACAGCCCTCTTTAGCTCACCCTGTGGATTTTCAATTGGATTCAGGTCCAGGCTCTGCCTGGCCCATTCCAAAACTTTGATCTTCTGGTGAAGCCATTCTTTTGTTGATTTGGAGGTATGCTTTGGGTCATTATTGTGTTGAAATGTGGAATTCTTCTTCATCTTCAGCATTTTGGCAGAGGCCTGCCTGAAGGTTTGGTTCTAAAATTGACTGATTTGGATCTCTTCCTAATTCCCTCCACCTTGACTAAAGCCCCAGTTCCAGCTGAAGAAAAGCAGCTCCAAAGCATAATGCTGCCACTACCGTGCTTCACTCTGGCTATGGTGTGCTTGTGGTGATGCACAATGTTATTTTTGCACCAAATATGCTTTTTGGAATTATGGCTAAAAAGTTCAACCTTGGTCTCAAGACCATAACACATTTTCCCACATGCTTTTGTCAGACTTGATGTAGGTTTTTGTACATGGTAACCAGGCTTGGATGATGGGCTTGATCAGAGTCAGTTTTATTGAATGCAGATGTATACTGTCTACTACTTAACATCAGTTTGAATGTGGTTGGTTAATTCTGAACACAGCCATATCTCTACTTATAAGAGGGTGCGCACACCTATGCAACCATGTTATTGTACATCTTTTGTTTTTCTTCCTAAAAGATGTCAGTCTGTTTTTCAATTGAATTATATAGCTTATATGTCATATTAAAAGTGGGGAAAATTCTGAAGTGATTTATCTTGGTCTGATTTTTTTACATCTCAAAAACCTGGCTTTTTAATGGGTGTGTAGACTTACTATATCCACTGTATATCATGCAGCATTGCTTCCAGTTCAGTTCCAGGAATATTTTCAGGTCTCGTAACTTGTTTACGTATAGGATTTTTTTTTGTATGCACTCATAAAAGTGTCAGCATTTATTCCTGGTTTCAAATGAAAGTGCAAAATCTATAGATTTAATACTTTTCTTCCATTTATAGAAAATTGCTGTTAATTTATGCCAAGAATTTCCAGATCCCATCAGTCAAGCATCTTTTTCTGGTAATAATGGTAGAAACATGAAAATTATAGTTACAAACTCTGGTATTTTGTATGTGTTGCAGTGAAGATAATACATGGGAGCCAGAGGAGAATCTCGATTGCCCTGACCTAATTGCGGAGTTCCTGCAATCCCAGAAAACAGCACATGAAAGTGACAAGTCGGAGGGAAGCAAGCGCAAGGCTGACTCCGACTCTGAGGATAGGGGGGAAGAAAGTAGACCAAAGAAAAAAAGAGAAGAGGTAAGGCAGTTTCCTTCAGTACATAATTCATTCAAGGTTGCTTATATCTTATAAAGAGAAAAAAATGGTTGACAGAAATTTTAAACAGAGTGTTATGACCCAGGTTGCTTAGGCAGAGGCAGATTCTTTATTGCTCTGTTAAATTCCACAATGAACAGCCCCACAACAGCTGGTAAGACCCCACCCGACACTTCCCTGATGGCAGCCACCCTCAGTCCCACAAACAAAAGCCAGTAAGCAACAAAACCAATTTGCAAAGGCAGAGAGGAAGTCCAAAGAGAAGGTGGAAGCTTGCAGGGTAAGGTCCAGAGTCAAGGTCCACAGGGCAAGGCAAAAGGCAAGTCTACTGGGCAAAACAAGTCCACGAGGCAAAGACACAAGGCAAGGCTAAGTTTTTCCAAAGCCAGGGGAGTGTACGCCAAAGCAAACAATTGTTCCTGACAAAGACAATCTGCCCTGGCTTCTGCTTAAGTCAACCCACACCAGGTGTTCCTTGTGAGGAAGGGTGGGGCAACCTCCCGAGCAATCTCACAGACCTCCTTTGAGCTTGCCCCCACTTTCCGTGCTCTGGGATCGAGCAGGGGAGGCAGCTGTTCCTCATCATGGGATCTGCTGCCCCTCAACAGCACTGTTTGTCTGTAGGTGATCCTCCCCCGTGTCTGTGAGGGCAGGCAGCTCTCCGTCTAGTCAACCACCTCCCCCAATGCCTGAGGGGCCTGGGACAGCATCGGCCTCAGCCCCGACCTCTCCAAACATTCCAAGGGAGATGTACTATCCTCGTTGGACACACCTGGTTCAAACTCCTCCTCTGAACTGGGATCCGATGGGGCCATGGCACACGGGGACATAATTTTAGTTTACACTTAAGGATCTTTGAGGTGCATAAATACCTTAGGTGTGTTCTGCTGCCTGTGGTTTTGAAGAAATTTATTCTTTCTCTCATGTTTATTGCTCTAGAGTGGGTGTCGGCAACCCACGGCTCCAGAGCTGCATGCGGCTCTTTGAGCCTTCTGCTGCGGCTCCCTGTCCCATCACTAGCTGGCCCCACCCCTCGCCCTCCCCTCCCTCGCCTGGCCTGAGAAGGTAAGGGCGACGGCTGGGGATGGAGAAGTGGCTGAGGCTGATTCTCTGGCAACTTACTCTTGCTGGAGCTTCTTCCGGCCCTTGTTGGTGCTGGGCATGCCTCGGTCGCTTGGGGAGACACGCAACCTGCTGTCCGCCCTGAGACACTGGCCTGACCTGGCTGCAACCGATGCCGGCCTCTAACATGAGGGCTGGTGGGGTGGGAATGGGATCTGGGAGGAGCGGACGTCAGAAAGGGTCTCTCTCTCTCTCTCTCTCTCTCCCTCCCTCCACCCAGAGGGTATGCACACGTGGAGAGACCCTCCTGAAGTGAGCGGCTAGCTGCCCCATGTGTGCTTTTGCTGCGCTTTGGCCAAGGAGGGTCTCCCTGCTCACTTGAGGGTGTCCCTGTGCGTGCACACCCTCCCGGCCCCACAACAGTCAGCCAGGGGGTCGCAAGAGGAGAAGGAGGGGGAGGAGGAGGGTCACCTGAAGGGAAGCCTCCACAGCAGCTGGTGCTCATTCCTTAGCCAGCCCAAGGAGAGAGAGATACAGAGGGAGAGAGAGATACAGAGAGAGGGGGAGAGGGGAAAATGGAGAGGGGGGAGATATACAGACAGATACAGAGGGGGAGAGAGATACAGAGAGGGGAGAGAGATACAGAGAGGGGAAGATAGGGAGTGGGGGGAGAGAGATACAAAGAGAAGGGGGAGAGGGTGGGAGAGAGGAAGGGGAGAGAGACAGATACAGAGGGGGAAAGGGGAAGAGAGGCAGAGATACAGAGAAGAGGGAGGGGGGAGAGAAGGGTTTTGTGGCTGGGTAGGTCATGTGACTGGGTGGGAGTGAGTGACATTGAGTTGGCCACACCCACCCAGTTTTTGTGACTCCAGGTTTTTTTTTCTTTCTGTGGGAAACAGGTCCAAATGGCTCTTTGAGTGTTTAAGGTTGCAGACCCCTGCTCTAGAGTCTAGTCTAACATTCTTTTAGGTTTTCATCATTTTTATTTCAGTTTTTCTGTCTATTCATTTTCTGTTTAAGTCACATCTTTTTTTTCTATTCATCCTTGGAAGTAAAGTCCCAATTTATAGCCATGAAACTTTAATGGCAATATGATGTAGAATTTTCATCCCATTAATATTTATCTCTAGCCCATTGTTAGCTTATTGCCTAGAATTTCAAGGAATACATGATCTCTGGTAGCTGCCATTAAGGAGGACATCTGTTCACCAAAACAACAGCTCCAATTTCTTTAAAATTGTTGAAGGTCTATCCTTCAGGTAAATTACATGAGATATTATATTAGGGTTCATGAAATCATAGTTTTGAAGAACATAAACTCCATACTTTAAGAATATATGTACCATATTGTTCTTGATTTAGGATTCCCTCCTTTCTAGACTATAGCAGAAACCATTTTCTGGCAGTAATATTTTGTGTTTTCTGATCAGTCCATATTCACTGCTTGATCTTTTTGTGCTATCCTCTAAATCAGTGGCCCCCAACCTTTTGGGCCCCAGGGACTGGTTCTGCAGAGAGAAGTTTTTCCGTGGACTGGAAGGGGTGTGGTTTCACATGATGTCTGCATCCCACAGATGGGTCTTTGCTTGTTTGTGCAGCCCGGTTTCTGGCATGCTGCAGCCTGGTGCTAGTCCACAGACTGGAGGTTGGGGGCCCCTGCTCTAAATGCAGCACTTATGAACATTTCTTTTTCTTTCTTTAGGCTGAAAAGCCTCGAGGGTTTGCAAGAGGGTTTGAGCCAGAACGGATTATTGGTGCCACAGATTCCAGCGGGGAGCTCATGTTCCTAATGAAATGGTAAATTTGTCCTTTAATTTTTGAAGTTCTCATTGCACTTTTTCAAGCTGAAGTATGACATTTGCTTGTATAAATGTTGAGGAAATGCTGTGGCTTAATGTCTGTGTCAGAATATGGGAATATAACAATAGCAATAAGACTTATATACTGCTTCACAGTGCTTTACAGCCCCCTCAAAGTGGTTTACAGTCAGCATATCACCCCCAACAATCTGGATCCTCAATTTACCCACCTTGGAAGCAGTGGTGGGATTCAAAGAATTTAACAACTGGTTCTCTGCCCTAATGACTGGGTGGGTGTGGCTGGGTGGGCATGGCCAAAGTTGATTGGTCTCACCCTTAGGAAATTTCTCCTTAGTCCAATTCACAATAAAATAGCACAATAAAATAGCACTGTTCCAATATTTAGAATAGAATAGAATAACAGAGTTGGAAAGGACCTTGGAGGTCTTCTAGTCCAACCCCCTGCTTAGGCAGGAAACCCTACACCACTTCAGACAAATGGTTATCCAATCTCTTCTTAAAAACTTCCAGTGTTGGAGCATTTACAACTTTTGGAGGCAAGTTGTTCCACTGATTAATTGTTCTGTCAGGAAATTTGAGGGGCTCCTACAAAAATGAGGGAATCAATCTATTTTCCAAAGCACCAAAAGGCACAAGAAAAAACAATGGATGGAAACGAGCCAAAGAGAGAAGCAACCTAGGACTAAGGAGAAATTTCCAAAGGGCAAGACCAATCAACCAATGGAATAGCTTGTCTTCAGAAGTTGTGGGCACTCCATCACTAAAGGCTTTCAAAAAGAGTGAGGGAAGTACACCCCAAAAAGACAGTGCCAGGAACCACTAAAACAATGCAGAAAACTTAAAACAGCTACTCCAGAGGTGGTATTCAGCAGGTTCTGACCAGTTCTAGAGAACCGGTATCAGAAATTTTGAGTAGTTCAGAGAACCTGCCAATACCACCTCTGACTGGAGATTTTACAGTATCCTTCCCCTGCCACGCCCACCAAGCCACACCCCCAGAACAGGTAGTAAAAAAATTTGAATCACACCACTGAGCCATTCCCCTTTTTAAAAAAAGTCAATCCCAAAGCAAATGCAGCAGCTGAGAGGGAAACTAAGAGCAGCTGCTCAGGCTAACTGAAAGCCATTAACCCTTCCAACTATTATTCTATGTTCTCTATGTTCTAAATTGGGTGCTTCACAGCAGAAGCAATACAGCTGGCTGGACCACACATGCATTAAATTTATGGCCTGTATGATCAAGCTGCATCATTGTCCCCTCCTGTATCTTTTCCCCCAGGAAGAAACAAGAAGTAGCCAACACTGCAGCAGCTATAAAAGGTCTTGGGGAACTCCAGGGAGTATCAGCTGATCACAGAAGTGTTACTTAATACTCTTTACAATGAAAATGTTTGTAAACTTGTCCTCCTTCCTGAAGGGAAGAGGTTAATCCCACCCCTAAATGGGTGATTGATGGGTTTCCCTGCCCCAATCCTGTCAGTCTCTGTTGTTTATTGACTTGATTCAGCATGTATTGGCTGCATTCCAGCTGCAACTGATAACTGGTTGTCTGTCTGCAGCTATTTTTAGCCTGTTCTCTGAACTGCATAAGCAATTGACAGTTGGGAGAACAGGTGAGAAACAGCTGAATCCCACCTGTGCTTGGAAGGATGGAAGGCTGAGTCAACCTTGAGCATGGTGAGACCAAATTGCTGGCAGCCAGTGATCAGCAGAAGTAGCCTGCAGTACTGCATTCTAACCACTGCGCCACCACAGCTCTTCCTTATAATTCCTTAGTATAGTATTCAGTTAACACAGTGGTTTCCAAAGTGGGCGGTACCGCCCCCTGGGGGGCGGTGGGATGCCTTAGGGGGGCGCTAAGAGGCAAGGGGGGCGTTCGAGGCACCAGCCCCGCAGGGTCACCCATTGACTGTTGCACTGGAGCTGGCGCCTCGAACGCCCCCCCGCCGCCTGTTAGCGTCCCCAAGGGGGCTGGCAGGGGGGCATTCGAGGTGCCGGCTGTTACACTGCTCCGGAGCCGGTGCATCGAATGTGGCAGCGGTGACACGTTACATGCTGCCACAGCTACATTCAACATACCGCCCCCCTGCCACCTCTTAGCATCCCCAAGGGGGCCAGCAGAGGGACGCTAAGAGGCGGCAGGGGGGTGTTCGAGGCGCCAGCTCCGGAGTGGTGCAACAGTCAATGGGTGAGCCTGCAGGGCCGGTGCCTCCAACGCCCCCCTGCCGCCTCTTAGCATCCCCAAGGGGGCCAGCAGAGGGGCGCTAAGAGGTAGCAAAGGAGCGTTAGAGGTGCCGGCCCTGCAGGCCCATTGACTTGTACCGCACCGGAGCCGGCACCTTGAATGTGGCAGCACGTTGGGAAAAGCTGCCACCATCGCTTTCCCAAAGTGCCGCCGCTGTCGCATTCTGTCTGTTCATCCATCCATCCATCCATCCAAAAGGTCTGTCTGTCTCCTTGCCTACCTACCTGCCTGCCTGCCTGTCTTTCTGTCTACCTACCTACCTGCCTACCTACCTATCTACCAATATAGATCTACCTACCTACCTACCTATCCATACATCCGTCCAAAAGGTTTGTCTGTCTTCCTGCCTGCCTACCTATCTATTTATCTACCAATATATCTATCTATCTATGTATCTACCTACCTACCTACCTGTCTCTCTAGGGAGGGAGGGAGAGAGAAAGAGGGAGAAAGAGAGAGAGAGACACCTGATGCATCAGATTGAAATGAGGCCTAGTTTAGACTGAGGCCCTTTTCTACATTGAAACATCTTTGGCTTCTATTAAAGGTTTTGTAGATGAAACATGGTCAAGACTATCAGGAAGCGCTCAGATTTTGTTGAAGCTTTAAACAGGATCCATTGGGCCAGATCTCCACCCTAAAAATTTACTTTTCCCCAATGTATTACAGTGCCAATTCTGAAGAAGGCAAAACCAAAATGTACTGGTAAATTACAAGGAAAACACACACACACACACACACACACACACACACACACCATTCTAACCCTGCTGCAGCAGGTGATTGGACTAGAATAGATATTTCATTATCTTTCTCCTCCTTCCCTCCCTCCTTCTTTATTTCTTTTTCTTTCTGTCTGTTCCTTCCATCTCCCCCTTTCTTTGTCCCTTTTTTCTTTCCCTTTTCTCTTTTCTTTCTTCTGTCTTTCTCTCTTTTTTTCTCTCTCTCTTTCCCTCTCTCAGGCTCACCCCATTGACTTGGTGCACTGCTCCGCTGGGACTTGCTTGGGCAGGTCCCTCCGATGCAGTGGGCTCAATGGGGTGGACCTGCGGGGCTGGCACCTAGAACGCGGCAGTGGCAACACTTTTGAAAAGTAGAGCAAAGCCAGAGGTCAGTAATTTTGCTGCAAAGAATCACAAAAGCTTCTTGGTTTTGCACAAGAAGGAACACACATGTCAATGCAATTCAGCAACATAAAATAAAGAAATACAAATAAAGATCAACAAGAATCGGCAAAGCATCTCTGATTAGATTCTATTCACTACTAGAATCTAATCAGAGATGTTTTGCCGATTCTAGTCCAATGACCTGCTCCAGCAGGGTTGGAAGGGAGTATGCGTATATGTGTGTGCATGGCTGTCAAAACTCCAAAAACAGGTCAAGTAGTTCTGGGGAGGCCAGTCATAAATTAGAACACTTGCTAAACAACTGGCCATTAAGTGAGGACCACTTGTATTTGGTTTGCCAGTCACCTGGCCACACGCACCCAGTCACGTAACCACCAAACCACACCTACCTGGTAACATGACCAGCAAGACACGCCCTCAAATTAGGCCACACCCACAGAAATTTGAATCCCACCCCTGGGTGGGGGGCACCGAGGATGAGTTTGTAGCACCAAGGAGGCAGTGGACTGAAAAAGTTTGGGAACCACTGAGTTAACAGTTGGCTATTTTTGTTGTTTTAATCTTGTTTGCCTGTGGCAGGATGTAAGCTGTTGAATTTGTTGACAGTCAGCATGGCATATAAACTTGTCTGCCTATATAAGGTGTCCTGAATTTGTTTACTTGCTTAGGATTAAAACTTGAGGTGGATAAAGTCTTTTGATGGTACAGGATTTTTGTGTGCTTTAACTGTGGACTGTCTCTGATCTGGCTTTAGATTTTCCATTAAAGAAAGGATGGTATATACATTCATTTTGAAAAACAGAATTGTCTATAAATTCTGAAAAGTGATTTCTCAATTTGGAGTTCAGCCACCTTTCTTACAATAATTGTGTGGTAGGGTTAAGTATAAATCAGTGGAACATTCATTGAGTGCATTATGAAGCATTTCCTGTTCTGGAAGATACACATCTTGGCAACCCCAGAACAGCCAGATAAATGTGATGTGAAGAAGAAACTTCTTTCTCTGGAATGAAATATTATGTGTGCAATTACAAACTTGCAACCTCCAGTTTTGCTAAATTATAGGTACAGGTGAAACTCAAAAAATTACAATATCGTGCAAAAGTTCATTTATTTCAGTAATGCAAGTTAAAAGGTGAACCTAATATATGAGATAGACTCATTACATGCAAAGCAAGATAGTTCAAGCTGTGATGTGTCATAATTGAGATGATTATGGCTTACAGCTCATGAAAACCCCAAGTCCACAATCTCAGAAAATTAGAATATTGTGAAAAGGTTCAATATTCTAGGCTCAAAGTGTCCCACTCTAATCAGCTAATTAAGCCATAACACCTGCAAAGGGTTCCCGAGCCTTTAAATGGTCTCTCAGTCTGGTTCAGTAGGAATTACAATCATGGGAAAGACTGCTGACCTGTCAGTTGTGCAGAAAACCATCATTGACACCCTCCATTAGGCGGGAAAGCCTCAAAAGGTAATTGCAAAAGAAGTTGGATGTTCCCAAAGTGCTGTATCAAAGCACATTAATAGAAAGTTATGTGGAAGGGAACAGTGTGGAAGAAAAAGGTGCACAAGCAGCAGGGATGACCGCAGCCTGGAGAGGATTGTCAGGAAAAGGCCATTCAAAAGTGTTGGGGACTTTCACAAGGAGTGGACTGAGGCTGGAGTCAGTGCATCAAGAGCCACCACACACAGACGGATCCTGGACATGGGCTTCAAATGTTGTATTCTTGTCAAGCCGCTCCTGAACAACAAACAACGACAGAAGCGTCTTACCTGGGCTAAAGAAAAACAGAAACAAAACAAAAACAGAACTGGTCTGTTGCTCAGTGGTCCAAAGTCCTTTTTTCTGATGAGAGCAACTTTTGCATCTCATTTGGAAACCAAGGACCCAGAGTCTGGAGGAAGAATGGAGAGGCACACATTGCAAGATGCTTGAAATCCAGTGTGAAGTTTCCACAGTCTGTTGATTTGGGGATCCATGTCATCTGCTGGTATTGGTCCACTGTGCTTCATTAAGTCCAGGGTGAACGCAGCCATCTACCAGGAGATTTTGGAGCACTTCATGCTTCCTTCCGCAAACGAGCTTTATGGGGATGCTGACTTCATTTTCCAGCAGGACTTGGCACCTGCCCACACTGCCAAAAGCACCAAACCCTGGTTCAATGACCGTGGGATTACTGTGCTTGATTGGCCAGGAAACTCGCCTGACCTGAACCCCATAGAGAATCTATGGGGCATTGCCAAGAGAAAGAGACATGAGACTGAACAATGTAGAAGAGCTGAATGCCACTATTGAAGCATCCTGGTCTTCCATAACACCTCAGCAGTGCCACAAGCTGATAGCTTCCATGCCACGCCACATTGAGGCAGTAATTGCTGCAAAAGGGGCCCAAACCAAGTACTGAGTACATATGCATGCTTATACTTTTCAGAGCTCCAATATTGTTCTATGTACAACCCTTGTTTTATTGATTGCATGTAATATTCTAATTTTCTGAGATTGTGGATTTGGGGTTTTCATGAGCTGTAAGCCATATTCATCACAATTATGACAAATCACGGCTTGAACTATCTTGATTTGCATGTAATGAGTCTATCTCATACATGAGTTTCACCTTTTAAGTTGCATTACTGAAATAAATGAACTTTTGCACAATATTCTAATTTTTTGAGTTTCACCTGTAGTCCTTGACTTATGATAAATTGTTTAATAACTGTTCATGGTCTTAGAATTAATAACTGTTATGATGGTCTCAGAAAGGGTAAAGCACTTCTGGCCATCATGAAGCACTGCACTGCCCTCATGTGATCACAGTCCAGGTGCTTGGCAACCTGTTTGCACTTACAACTGGTTGCCAAGCACCCTGTCATGTGATTTCCATTTGCAATCTTCTCTGCCCGCTTCCCCAGAAAGTCAATGCAGAAGCCAGCAGGGAAGGTTGCAAGCTACTTCTGAGAGTACTCCCTCTCATTTCTGAGGACTTATTGAAAGAGTTCCCTAGCAGGGGAGCAATCTCAGTTCTACATGGTGCTGAGATTTCTAGCCCAACAAAGGATTTCTCCTCTCCTCTGTCCACTGGGAGGAAATCCTTCGTTGGGCTGCAGAAATGGAATTATTCAGGATTCCACCAATGGATGGAGGGGAAAGGAAATTCTTTGTCAAGCTGCAGGAACCTGAAGATTTTAGCTCCATCCCTGCAGTCTAATGAAAGACCCCCCCCCTCCCAGGACCTTCCCAGGGCCTCTCCCACCCTCTGAGGTACCCCATGCTCCTTACCTGGGACTCCGTCCATGTAATGACATCAGTGATCATTTAATGACAGCAACTGGGAGTGCCAGGATTGTGTTCTGTCCTAGGCCTCACCAAAAAGCACTCAGTCAATTTTGAGTCCCGGCAAAAACCTCTTTATTTACAATAATGTGAATTATTTCATTCACAGTCAGCCAACAGCTTGGCAGTCTGGCAAAGGTAGACTAATTATCTCAGACCTTTATCAATCCTGGAATGCTGCCCGGTAAATAGTTCCACACTCACTCTTGGCAGGGAAGGCTGGGTTTTCAGACAAATCTCCATGAGGCTGGAACAAATGACCGAACGAGCGAGTTGTTTCCTGCAAAAGCCCCCTCCCCTTTTGTTCTTCTTTTAATCCTGATGGGAGGGGCCATTCATCGTCCACCTGTGGCCTTGCTCCCACGTCAACCCTGAGTTCTTAACTGATCCTTTCTTTTAGCAGCTCTGCACATGTGCAGGCTGGGAACTGGTTCCAACTGCTCCCCCGCCACTGCCAGCCTCCCCTGGCCCCATCTCTGCCTCTGATACAGATCCCTCATCCAAGCCTTCCTCGGCCTCCAAGACTGGCCCAGGTTCCTCCCCAACCTCCTCACTACTGTCCAACTCTGCTGCCAGCTCTGCCAGCCGCCGGTGGGCCACAACACATTGAAACAAACAGTCACAGTGTTTCACTTAAGCATTTTGCTGAACCACTGAGATTCCATTCCCAATTGTGGTAGTAGCTTGACGACTACCTGGACATTTTGTTTAACAACCATTCAGAGTTATGACAGATCTCCTTAGAGTCCTAGCATTGTGTGGCGAGGTGAGCTGCTGTTACTCACCTTAGCTTCTGCCCACCCAGCAGTTCAAAAGTATGCACTATGTGAGTAGATAAATAGGTACCACTTTGGCAGGGAGACAAGTTGGTGCTTCACGTGGACGGTTAGAATCCTGTTGGTGCTGAACCTTCCCGATTGTGATGCCCATTTGCGAGGTGGCTTCAGTGGAGGGAAAGGGCCCTGGATGACTCGGCAGGAAAGCCGCTCATCTTTCTGGTGCAGAGCTAGCTTCACCCCCAATGGCACACCTTGTAAAGTGCACAAGCATGAACCAAACAGGGCTAGCAGTCTTAGGCAGCCAAACTACTACTCTGGATTAGCATTGTAGTCTCCTGGCTAATGTAACATCACCATACTATAAATAAACTAATGTTTTTTTGGAGATACAGTGGCCACAAGCACAGTCTTTTGAATACATTTTGGGTGCTTGGCAACTGGCTCATCTTTATGGCTGTTTGCAGTGTCCAACGGTCATATGACCACGATTTGGAACTTTTTTGCCAGTTTCTGGCATTCGTTTCTGATCTGCAGCAAAATTGCCCATTGTGGAAAATGGATTTGCTTAACAGCTGCAGTTAAAAAAAACAGTTGTATCTTCAAATCTGGTAACATGCCTTAACTGTAATTTTGGACTAACTTGCAGGTAGTCCTCGAGTTACAAATGTAATGGAGCTTGCCAATTACATTCATAACCTGAGGATTTGTTGAAGTAAATCACGTAAAATGAACGTGAAAACTCCCTGCTTTCACCCATGCATTTGCTAATTGAATGTGTGGGTCGTTAAGTGCACATAAGGTATCTCAGGGTGGGGAAGGCCATGGGGGGCCTAGTGCAGGGACAAGACCACTGAGTCCAAGCCACTAAAGTCATCCTCCCACCCACTGAAAGATCCCATGCTCCTCTTCTCACCCCTTGGGGTCCCAAGCTGCTTGGGCTTTTCCTCCCTACCCAGTCATCAACCGCTTACTTTTGGCGCCACGTTTGATAGCCTTGCGCTGCCCACGCTCACCTCCTGTGTGGCCTTGGGTGCCAGAGCCCTTGTCCAGCCAGGTGGAGAAGCGCCAGACTGGCCTCTCCCCTTCCCTGCTGAGCCCCAGTCTCTCTCACAAGCGGGTGCGGTCCTGCCCCATTGCTTGCTGTAATGCCAAACCTGCCTGGATTTCGCAAATTGCACCACCACAGACCTGGAGAACTTGGGGCGCCACCCCCCTGCTTCCTTCATTTGCCAAAAGCACTCCTTAAAACTTGCAAGAGAGGTTTCCAAACAAACCTGCTTTCCAACTCTGTTGCATCCTCCCCGCAACTCAAGATGCTCTTCTTTCACTGGATAAATGGAAAATCTGGGTTGCAAATGGAAGAAACCTGCAGGGAAACCAAAATAGTTTGTGGTGGTTAAAAAAAGGTAAAATCAGACCTTCCAATTTCTCGCAAGAAAAAAGATCTCACAAAGTTGGAAAGGCTGATGTTACTTTTTTTTCATAAGTGAGAATGATTGCTGTAATACTGCAAAATATGTAACTTTGGGACCCGGATGTAAGTACTTTTGACGGGGATGTCATAACTTCAAACAGTTGCTAAGTGAACTGTCGAGAATTACCTGTATGGTCATAAGTTGAGGAGTGCCTTGACAGGTTCTAGCAACCCTCATTGTTAGGCATGCTGAACGTTGGGAAACAACCAGACAGGTGAGGAGGAGGGATCAAGTGCAGAGTTAGTCTCTTACATACTTGCAGGTGACCTAGGACTGATACTCCCACCAAGTTCCATGGAACTTTATCTGTTTGTTTCCAAGGGAGTGCAAGCAGTCTGGGGAGATAGTCATAGGTAGAATACAATAGTCAACTTGAACTTTTCACATGTGGATCTAGTTGTTTGTGCCTGACATTGAATGGGCTGTTTGGGCTACTATTTTTGCTATCCATGGAGGGTCACAGTCTATTTCTGTGGTCTAAAAGGACAGTTATAGGTGCAAATGTATTGTCCATCAGAGGTTGGCAACTATGCCATAGTATCCTTGTAGTTTAGTGGGATGTGCTCATCCATCTCCACAATTAGGAAATAGAAGATCCAGCAAGTTATCTTTTAAATTAGACAAAAAAATGAAATGGTTGTACCTGCTACCAGAAAACATTGGTTTTGATATACCTTACAACTTTAAACAATAAATTCCATCAAATTATCACAAGTGTCATTCAGGTAACATGGCACAATCTTTGATCATCTGTATCTAAAAGGGTTTTTAATACCAATAGATCTTCTTTATCACTCCCTGTGAGATAAACACTAACATTTTTTTCTCTTGATTACATAGGAAAAACTCAGATGAAGCTGATCTGGTTCCTGCCAAGGAAGCTAACATCAAGTGTCCACAGGTGGTCATCTCATTTTATGAGGAAAGACTCACATGGCACTCTTATCCCTCGGAGGATGATGATAAGAAGGATGAAAAGAATTAAGTGGCTTGCCCTTCTGTCCTCATCCCTCCTTTGGCTGACTTTTGTATTAAAAAAACAGACTATGGGTTTGAATATGAGGGAGAAGTGAAGAGACACTTGGCTGAGGAGGATGCCCTCTGTAGAAATAGGACAAGATCTCTGCTTGGGTGTGCATGTGCATATTCATCTGTCACCTTGATTGGAGGAATGAAGGCCACCAACAAAAACAGCAAGTGCAGGTGCTTGTTCTGTAAAGATTACCTGAAATTTGCAACCTTTCTCCCAAATAGTATTAACAGCTTTTTTGTAGTTTAGCATGAGTGTGTTTGATTCCTTTTTTGCTATTATTTGTGTATTGTTGAGGTGGGAAGGGAGGGTATGCGTCAACTGACTTGAGACAAAGATTGGTTCACAGTATTCTATAGCCAGTCATAATTCTTAAACAGCTGCCTCTTACTGCAATTAAAATAGGTTACTCTTAAGACACATTTCCTCCAGCATTTTTATTAAGTGTCAGCCTCAAGATCTCTTTGGGTACCCTAACTGCTATCTATCTCATTTATTTCTCCCATATCTTCTCTACTGCTAGGCTTACTTCTTTCGGCTGTCATTAGCAACGGGGGGAGGGGTAATTGTGGGGGGGAAGAGAGCTGGAGGTGTTTTGCATTCCTTTACTGTGGGCAGAAAAAGGAGGGGGTGTATGATTTCTTCTTTTCAACTTTCCATTTCCTTGCTAGCCTCTATCCCTTTTTGCGCAGCTGCGAAGTCTTATCAAAATATGTCAAGGTCAACGGACAGAGGCCTCATCACCACCTGAAGATGCCCACATGATCATATTCAGAACTTTTAATTGGAAGAGACTTCTGGATTTCGGGGGGTGGGAACAATTCCATTTCTTTGTATGTGTGATCTGCGCGCCAAATTCTCAGTTTCGGAATTCCATTTGTAGCTTCCTTTTCATTTTCCAGTAAAAGAATAACTTTGCTCTAATCCATGGAGTCTGGGTATTTCTTTCTTGGATTTTGAAAGGAGCACACACTGACAAAGTGTTAGCATTAACAGCTGAGACTGTAATCAGCTAATACAAGAATTATTGTCACACATTTAAAATTAGGGAAGAGGAAAAATTAACACCTTGTCCTAAAATAGCCTTTCTTTTCTGTGTCCTTTTAACTTCCCCTTTCCACAGAACTAGGATTACTTTACTTTCCTGTATGTATTTGAACTTGAGAATAGTGAGGGGTGGGGGGAGGAAAGAAGTGAAATCTACTTACCTACAGCACCAATAAGTTGCAGAATAGTCTAAACAATTTTGTCAGACCTGAGCATTTGTCTTGGTCCTCCACTGATTTTATTTTTAATGTAATAGACTTCTGTTTTTACAAAGGACATAATTTTACCTCTGAATTTGCCTGAGTCCCAGTAAGCCACCAACTTCTTCACAGGGCAGCATGTTTGTAGAACTGTATTGTACAAATCTTTTTTTAAAATAAAGCTTGTGTTAGGCTTCTGTGAAAATGTCTAAAACTTAAGTGTTTGGATTTTAACTTCATACTGAACTGTCCTTTTGTCTTAATAAAATTTTTGATTTATAATCCTTTTTTATTTTTTATTTTTTTTATTTTTAACAACAAACATAAACAAACACAAAACAACAAATAAAACCATCTTTCCATTGTATAGTGTGTTGGTTGGTACATATCTTTTGTGCACAATATCAGCAGTCTTTCCCTTCTACATTGAAATTATAATTCATATATATATCGACTATGCCTACTATATTGTTATTAACACCTTATCAGACTTATAAATTCACATTCTTTTTGAGCAAATTTCAACTATTATATGACCTAATACGTAATATTCATTTCATTATGATCGATTGTAACATATCATTACCTTATCATTACTATCATGTTATATTTATATTTTATTTCCCTATTTTCTTATCTAGCCATTGATAAAATAAATCCCAGATTTTATAATATTCTTTGTCTTCTTGCTCTCTAATTGCTAATGTCAATTTACTCATTTCTGCACATTCCATTATTTTCTTAATCACCTCCTATTGGAATTTTTTCACTTTTCCAATTTTTGGCAAATACAATTCTAGCTGCTGTTAATACATTAACAATTAGATATATCAATTCTTTACTATATCCTTCAGGTAAGATACCCAATAAAAATATCTCTGGTTTTGGAGAGGGGAGGAGCTGGCGCCGTGATGGTACAGCTTGCAATCGAGCTCTAAGATTGCTGCTGATATCTTCGCCCCTGGCCGGTCCAAACAGACCTAAACCATCCCATAGGGACAGTTATCGTGAGGGGTATACCCTGTGGATCCCAGGGACACCACAAAGTCCCTGGATGACCCAGGAGAAGTCCCTTTTGCCAGCGGTGGAGAGGCAGCCCCTAAGCTGCTGAAGTCGGGGCAGCTCCGGAAAGGAAGAGGCTGAAAGAGAAAGTGTCGGCTGGGTGAGAAACTTTTTTTTTTCAATACTTTGAGGCTTGAAAGGACACTTTGATTATAAGAAGAAATCTGTGAGATTTTTGACAAAACTGAATAAGCAGCGTTTTTTAAGGGAGACGTCAAAGCGAGGGTTTATTTTTATTTTATTTTTTTGCTACCGGACTTCATTGTTACTTAGTAGATAACCGAACTGAATTTTCTTTTATATATATATATATATATTCTTATTCTCCCTATGGATTTTTAATTTTTTTTTCTAGGCTAGAGGCTCCCTTTGGTTATTTTTCTTTTTGTATATATAGGTATATATCTCCCGTTCTTTTTTTAACTTTAATTACGCTTTTCTGGGAGGAGGGGGGAAAGTGAGAATTAAGAAACTTTGTAACACTGCCAACTAGAGGCTTGAAAATATTTCACTTGAAGTGGAGAGAACCGTGAAAGACTCCTTCTCAAGGACATTTTAATTTGATAAGATAGAGCGAAGAGCGCAGCAGAATGTTATTACAGGTGCTCTTCTGGATTTCTATCAACAATTAAATATCTGTGGTTTGGCTTTGAAGCTTGTGGGGAAGGGAAGAGAGTCATAACAAGAGCCTTGGACAATTAAACAGAGTGCAGTGTGTTGTTTCTTTCTTTTTAATCTTTTTTAGTTCCGCTACCCCTCCTTACCAGTATTACTGTAAATTTTTATTATAGCAATGTATTTTTTTTTAAGGGGAAGCCTTAGAATTTCTCATTTTTATTTTTATTTTTTTTTCCTTTATCATTGGGATTTTTGCTTTTTCTATCTATGTTCTTGGATTATTTTGCTTCCCTTTTTCTTTTTTTTAATTGAGATCTTCTAGTTGGATTAAGGTGTGAAGAACCTGAAGAAATCTTTCTTTTGCTCTGTCCTTTTTTATTACTATTATTATTGGGTCTTCTTTTTATTTTTATTTTTTATTGTGGACTATTTCATAATTGGATTAGGGTCTGGAAGAACCTGAAGAATCTTTTCTTTTTTCTTTTTTCTCCTTTACTATTGGGCTTTTTACTATTGGACCTTTCCATTCTGGATTATAATTGGCTACTTTTCTAATTGGATTAAAATTTGAAAGAACTTGAAGATTTTGAATTACTTAAAATGAGTAGGAAACTCATACCTCCGGGTGCTTCTACATCTACTTCTGCCTCCCCACCATCTGGAGGACAACGTTCAATTCAGGTAATGTTAAAGCAAGACAAAGAACAAGAAAAAGTAACCTTACAGATGATTATGCAAGGAATCCAAGATCTTAAGATAAAAACAGACACCATTGAACAAAGAACAGGGAAGACTGATGAAAAAGTGGAAAATATTCAACAGATGATGGTGAAGTACGATGAGAGACTCCAAAAAGTCGAAGAAGAGGATAAACAAAGAGAGGAGAAGATTGGAAATATTGATAGCAGACTAACAGTGGTTGAACAAGATAAAAGTGGGATGCTGAAGTGGGAGATGGAGAGGTCAGAATTCTATCTCAGATTTCAAAATATAGAGGAAGAAAAAGGGCAAGATTTGGCTGCGATAATGATAGAAATCCTGGCTGACGCTTTGGAAATAACAGAGGAAAAGATGATGGATGGAGTAGATGAGATATACCGAGTTTTTACAAGATATGCGATGAGAAACAACCTACCCAGAGAAGTTCACATCAGATTTACTAAAAAATCCATCAAAACACAAATTTTACAAGCGGCAAGAGAGAAGACGCTGAAATATAAAGGCAAAGAAATCCTGGTCTTAAAACAAATACCCAGAAGAGTGAGAGAGATGAGAATATCGATTTTTGACCAAAGTGCTATTGAAAAAGGAGGTGAATTACAGATGGTTGATCCCTGAAGGACTGATGTTTACATGGCAAGAACAGAGACACAGAATTGATTCAATTGAGAAAGCAGAACTTTTCTACGCAGAATTTTTTGGAAGGAGAGAGGAAGAGGCAGAAAAAGAGGTTTCATTAATTGAATTTCAAGAGGAACAAATGGAGACTGAAAAAGAAGAAGGTGCAGTAGGTGGATAGATGGATATCAAAGACCAACGTGAACCAAGATCTACGAGAGCGGCTAAACCCAAATATAAAATATAATCATGGAAGAGAAAAAACTGATTACAATGAATATAAATGGACTGAATTCAGCCGCTAAGAGAAGGAAGATTTTTCATAAATTAGGGAAATTAAAGTTTGACATAATTTGTTTACAAGAAGTACACATTAAAAAGCAACATGAACAATTGTTAGTACAGCCAAAATTAGGGAAATTATTTACTTCTCTGACTCAATGTAAGAAAAGAGGAGTGGTTTTATATATTAAAGAGGCCACCCCAGCAAAATTGATTTACGCTGATGAAGATGGAAGAATATTAATGGTGGAAATAATCGACAATAATATAAAAATACTCTTGACTGCAATCTACGCTCCGAATGATAAACAAGAAGAATTCTATAAAAATTACATATGAAAATGACTGGACTGGACTATGCTAATATAATTATGATGGGAGACTTTAATGGAATTGTGGACAATAAACTGGACTATATAGCAACAACAGCAAAGCACAATAGAAAGATTCTTCCTAAATCTTTTTTTAAAATGACAGATGAACTAATTTTAAAAGATGTATGGAGAGAAAGAAATGCTAAAACCAAACAATATACTTTCTATTCAAATAGACATTTATCATGGTCCAGATTAGATATGATCTGGATCTCAACAGAATTA